CATTATATAGATGGTATTACGATGTTTAGTGTATCCACTCATCAGTTGATAGACATTGTGGTGTTTCTCTTTGACTATTATGGAATGAGGGCTTGCTATGGAACATTCAACAGAGTTTTATATGGTTCAAACTTGTTTAACTTTTTGAGACCTGAGGCAGATTGTTCTCCAGTGGGTGTACCACTGTACATTTTAACAACGGTATTGTCCCATTAGGCTGCGCTATAAACAAAAAAAAATGACCTTAGGGGACTGGGTATTTGTAATAGACAGAATTTATTCTCCACAGTATTTGGAGACGGTGAGTCAAGATCAAGGGCACCAGCAGATTCAGTATTCTGGGTGAAGTAATTCTCACATGGTAGAAGGGAACATTAGGTCTCGGCATGCTGCCTTTTTTTTTTTAAAGGCCAGTCAAAATTTGAGCCATGGTGGGGGTTGAATCTCAGCTGCTTTTTTTTTTTTTTTTTTTTTTAGAGACAGAGTTCGCTTGGTTCCCACTATGAGTTGAGTGCCATGCGTAGCTAGCTCCAGCCAGACCTCAACATCCTGGGCGGTCGAGCGATCCTTCTGCTCAGGCCGTCCCGAGGTAGTGGGACTACAGCATGAGCACATGCCCGAATTTTTTATTAGTAATAATCAGTTGGCAATTATTCTTTCTATTATAGTAGAGACAGGGTCGTCATCGTTGCTCAGGCTGGGTTTTGAACTCTGACCTTGAGACAATCCCCCCCAGCCTTCCCAGAGCTGATCATGCTGCTTTTATAATGGACATAATTCCATTACAGAGCAGAACCCTTATGGAGCTATCACCTTCTAATACTACTGCATTGGGGGTGGGTTTAACCTATGATTTTGCAGGACAGAAGCATTCGACCATATGAGGCCAGAAGCATTCAGACATATCAGGCCAGTAAATACTTTTAGGCTTGCAGGCCATATAATAACTCTGTTGCAGTACTCACTTCTGGCTATTGTACATGGAAACAGTATATGATAAGTTATGTAAACCAAATGGTATAGTTTATCTAATAAATTGGTTTTAGCAAAACAACAGATGTGTAGTAATATTTGACCCTAGGTTACTTATGGGATTTAAGAAAACCTTTGAAATCCATATGTTTTGCTAATAGTATAGATAATTACATATTTACTATAAAATCAGGCAAACTATTCATCAATAAGGACCAGAGTCTTTCCATTCCTCATTGAATTAAAAATTCTAACAACGAGATAGATATGGTGTTCTCTTTTATTTCAAATATATCATCTAAAATCAATGTTGCTAGCCGGGCGTGGCTTACGCCTGTAATCTAGCGACTCTTGGGAGGCTGAGGCGGCGAGTGGCTCGATCAGGAGTTCGAACCAGCCTGAGGCAAGAGGCGAACCCTTTCTACTATAAATAGAAAAATTAATTGGCACGATTGATATATAAAATTAAGCGGGCATGGTGCGCAGTGCCTGTAATCCAGCTAGCTCGGAAGGCTGGAGGCAGCAGGATTGCCTTGAGCCCAGAGGTTTGAGGTTGTGTGAGCTAGGCTGCGACGGCACTCAGTCTAGCACTGGGCAACGCGAGACTCTGTCTCAAAAAAAAAAAAAAAAAAAAATCAATGGTGTTTAAAGAAATGTTTAGTGTAGTGTTTAGATTATTTTACCTGAAAAGAAAAAGCTATCTATCACGTATTTATGGACTTCTGAAACAGTACAGTGAGCGTCTTCTCATACTGTGAGCAGAGATTGAGGAACTTAGGCCGTCGTAGAGGTAATATTGCTTTGATCTCACGCAATGTGCACCACCAAACGTGTAACTCACCTAGTGAGCTCCTATGCTCTCGATTTCAGAGTAAATACTTCTTACATCTTCTAAACGTCTTCATTGTTTTTGTAAGGAAGATTTTTTTTTATTTTATTTTTTGCAGATCAAGCTCACTTTGTTGCCCTGGTGAAGTGCTGTGCCATCAGCCTGGCTAGCAACCTCGACGTCCTGGCCTCCGAGCATCTCCTGGCCTAGCTCCAGAAGTAGCTGGGATTATAGGCATTGTACCACCATGCTCGGCTAGTTTTTGTATATATTTTTAGTTGGCCATTAAATACTTTCATTTTTAGCAGAACGGGGTCTCACTCTGTGCTCAGGCTGTGTGACTTCTGAGCTCAAATGATCCCGCCCCCTCAGCTCCCAGGTGCTAGGATTACAGACGTAGCCCATGCTGGCAAGGAAGCATTTTAGAGTTCTTTTTACTTAAATTCTATTTTTGAGCCCCATTATTTATTTATTTGTTTGGATCATAGTCTCAATGTTGCCCAGCTTAGAGTGCCGTGGTGTAGCCTAGCTCTACAGCAACCTCAAACTCCTGTCACGTGATTCTCCTGCCTCAGCTCCAGGTAGCTGGGACTGCAGCATGTGCCCCATGCAGGCTAAGTTTTTCATATTTTTGTTAGAGGGGTCTTCCTCTTGCTTCAGGCTGTTTTGAATCCTGAGCTCAAGGCAATTTCCGCTTGGCGCCTCGCAGAGGGTAGGGATTATAGATGAGCCACGACCCAGGCCTGCCAATTATAATCTATTGTAAAGTTAAAATATGAACATATAACTCTTTCAAAAAACCTATTGTGGCTTCCTATCACCTAAGTTGAACTTCTTAGAGCTCGACACATTCTCCGTTAATGCTCTGGTCTGCGATAATTCTTCAAGTACTCAGCACACTACACCATCACATGTGATGTACCGAAATAAAAGTTATTATGTAGATATTATACCTAATCTGTTTGGCAGGATTTTATGTTTCTCCCACAGTTTTGTTTTTTTTTTTTTTGAGACAGAGTTGCCTTTGGTTGCAGGCTTAGATGTGAGGCAGGGCAGTCAGCCTAGCTCACCGAGCAACCTTCAGAAGCGTCCTGGCTCAATGCATCCTATGCCTGCAGTCTCCCCAAGTATGCTTGGATCTGACGGCATATGGCACAGTGCCTGCTATTTTTCGCTGTAGTAGTATATTTTAGTGTCAATAATTTCTTCTAGTTATGAGTACGAGACGGTCGCTCAGGCTGGTTTTGAACTCCTGACCTTGAGCAATCCGCCTGCCTCGGCCTCCCAGAGTGCTAGGATTACAGGCGTGAGCCACCATGCCCTGCCTTGCTGATGGTTATTTTCTAGATTGGTCTTTCTTCTTGGAATGGTCAGATTTGCTAGTTGGGTTTCAGTTTAGGGGGATAAGTAGACAAACTAAGCCTGCTTAGGCCTAGGCAAAAGGCCCTCCAGTGGTCCAGTCTGGCTCCCTGGTGTTCCACAGTGGGGTCCATTCTCTGTGCACATATGACCCTTGGTGATATCAAAGGGAGGAGTAACTGGTCTAGGGTAGAATTCCTGTTTTGTTTTTCTTTTCTTTTTTTTTTGAGACAAAGTCACACTCTGTTGCCTGGGCTAGAGTGCCGTGGCGTCAGCCTAGTTCACAGCAACCTCAAACTACTAGGCTCAAGCCATCCTCCTTCCTCAGCCTCCTGAGTAGCTGGGACTACAAGCATGCGCCACCATGCCCGGCTAATTTTTTCTATATATTTTTAGCTGGCCAATTAATTTGTTTCTATTTTTAGTAGAGACGGGGGTCTCACTCTTGCTCAGGCTGGTTTTGAACTCCTGACCTTGAGTGATCCTCCCGCCTTGGCCTCCCAGAGTGCTAGGATTACAGGCGTGAGCCACCTCGCCCGGCCTAGAATTCGTGTTTTCTTGATGTTAGTCTGTTAATTATTTAATTTCACTGCAGACTGATTCCAAGGGTAGGATTAGGATGTTTGGGATACTGTGTTTTGGCTATCTATTATATCTACTTATAATATCTACTTCTTTTCACTCCCAGCCCCGTCATTTTAGGTAACTTCCAGAATTCTGAGTCAATTTTTTCTACTTCAGTACTTTTCAGATTTTCAAAAATAGACATGTTTTACTTTTATTAAAAACAGCAGCTGCCAGGTTCAGTGGCTAATACCTGTAGTCCCAGCTACTTGGGAGGCTGAGGCAGGAAGATCCCTTGAGGCCAGCAGTTTGAGATCAGCCTGGCAATATAGGGAGACCTCATCTCTTAAAAAAACAAAGCAAAACAAAAAATCAGCTTTTTTTGAGAAATAAGATAGACTACAATAAATTCATATCTAGAACTAGTTTAGTTTGCCTTCGAGTAGAAAGGAAAGAGAATAGAGACTATATGAACTCTTTAGTACAATACTGTAGTAAAGTGACAAAGGCAATTTGCAAATTAAGTGAGAACAAAATGTTTAGGAGAAGAGTACCAAGATCAAGGGAAAGACCCTAGACAAAAGGTTTATAGTCTGAACAGGGAGGAAGCAGATGAGACATAAATACTGCTGTGTACTCAAAAGTAGAGCCTGACAAAGCTAAAATCCTTTCTAAATATTAACTTTTGATCTGATTCAGCAATCCCATGATGTGAACATTAGCATAGCAAATGATAAAGTAAGGCAAAAGATAAAATTATTGTCCATGCACAGAAATAAAATTCAGGAATAGATAATCTCTTTCTGTGCCTCTTTGCCCTTTACTGTAGCAGCAGAAGCAGCCTGCAAGTTACTCTGTGTGTGTTTTTAGGGAAAGTAAATTGGTCACCAGTGCTCTGTAATAGCTAGGAATGGGGAAGCAGGGTCCAAACTAATAGTAGACAAGTTAGAACCAATTCTAAGCCTGAAGAACAGTTTCTTTAGGTATCAGTCTTTTTGCTCAGGATGAAAGATAATATTTTTAAAGGGCCATTCTTCTATGGTCCTCATCTATGAATATTCTCATTAGATATTAGGAAGCCAGTATCCTAGAAATGAAAAGCTTCAGCTTTCCCTAGTGTTGAGCTCTTTAGTTTGGGGAGTTATTAATTAGGCCAGATGTTACAGAAGAAAATGAGTAGTAATAAAGTATGAATTGATGGGTTTCCTTTTGTTGCCAGAAGTGAGGGGACAGGAGTTATGAGAGTATATATCAAAAACCTGTTTTTCCCTAGTAGGTGTGGAGTTTTCAGAAGAAACAAACAAATCTCCTCATCGCCTTTTATAAACATAGAATTACAAAGTTAGAAGCAGCCATGCAGGAGGCACAGCAAACACTGGTCAGCCAGGACAAGTAAGTGACAAATGAAATCCCCAGATAATTTCCTTTTTCTTTCAGTGGAGCTGTGCTTCTTATTTCCTTGTGGTTGCAAAGTCTGAAAATTGTTCCATGTGTATTTGTCTTGGGAAAATCAGGTCCCCAATTTTTGAAGTTTTATCAATCTCCATTTTATTTTTCTCTTTCTTCCCACTAGCGGCCCTCCTCACTGTACAGCTTTCCTCTTCTACTTCCCTGTATGAAAAACTACTTCTTCTGAGAAATCAGATACAGCTGATTCACACTGATAACAATGAGAGATAACATTAAAAAATGTTACCTCTGGGAGGGTATATTTTGGAAATCTTAAGCTAAAAGATGGAATCCTTGATGAAAAATTTTAGACATCAGCAGAGCAATGGTGTGTATGGTAGTGGTGGTGGGGAATGGAATTCTTTGCAAACTCCCCTGATAGCATACCAAGTAACTGCTTATTTTGTCCACGATCAAAATCCTGCCATTATCTCCTTAAATCATTAGATCCCTGATAGAAATACCTCATATAGTTGCAAGCATTTCTGAGTATGCATTAACTAGATGTAGATAATAATAATAATAAAAATCAGGGTTTTTTATCCCACTGACCTGCTGGAGCTGATTGTTCCATCTTTTGCCTAGAGAGTTGTCAGTCTTAAGGAAAGAGAATGGAGAACTGAAGAAATTTCTTGCCATCCTAAAGGTGAATGAAATATATTTTTCTTACTATTATTTTCTCTCCTACTTTTCCCATCTATCTAACCGACTATATAGAATAGTGTTTCCTAACCTTTTCCACATCATGACATATATAGAAAGTGAAAATATTTGTGCAATAAGCACACTATAGTAAATGAATGAGGCCATCGAAGACCTTGGAGGCCTGAAGGATCAATATTTAGCACATTTGTAACCCATTCTCAAACATCAGTGAGTCATGACATACCAGTTGGGAAGATCTCTTACAGAAGAGACATCTATTATTACTTAAAATTTCTCCTCAAAAAACCCAAGACATCTCAGGACCCTTCCTCTCCCTCACATTCCATTTCCTAAACATTATTTTTCTTCCTAAGAATGGTGTATGTATTTATATAATTTTCTTATTGATCCCACTCCTGTAACTATTCTAGCACATTATAATCATGTTGTTTTCCTTTTTCTCTCCACATTTCCTCATAGATATTAGTCTACAGGGTTCCTACTTATGCTCTGATGAAGAGGCACTGAAATTTTATTTCCTCAAAGCTAATAATTTCCTAAGGAAACACTGCTGCTGTTTTTTCTCCTACTGAGAATCTTAACAACCATAACTAGGGGGCATTGCAGTTTAGTTATCTAACAAGACTGAGATCCATTGATTAGGACCCTTGGTTTGCAATTTCCTTCACTTCCTCCCCCCCTTTTTTTCACCTACAGGAATCTCCAAGTCGGTACCAAGGAAGCAGGTCAGTATTACTAGCATCCATACTAGTCTCACCCCCTGAAAATTTCTGTTCTTTCTTAACTTCTGGCTATATGGGCTCTGAGATGGAAAAAATTGTTGATGAATTTATCTTTCACTTCTCTGAGAAAGTGTTACTCACTGAAAAGTGCTGAAGTAAAATCTGTACTCTTGTCTTATGAAATCCTACCCATCCTTCAAATTTCAACTCATGTGATTTGCATTAGGCAGAGTTAGATCTTCTATTCATTCTTTCAATAAATACTAAGCACCTACTGCTTATCAGGTACTATGATAGGTGCTGGATGTACAGCCCTAGTCCTTTCTGATTACTTTTCTTTTCTTTTTTTTTTTTCTTGAGACAGAGTCTCGCTTTGTTGCCCAGGCTAGAGTGAGTGCCGTGGCGTCAGCCTAGCTCACAGCAACCTCAAACTCCTGGGCTCAAGCAATCCTTCTGCCTCAGCCTCCCAAGTGGCTGGGACTACAGGCATGTGCCACCATGCCCGGCTAATTTTTTCTATATATATTATTTGGCCAATTAATTTCTTTCTATTTATAGTAGAGACGGGGTCTTGCTCTTGCTCAGGCTGGTTTCGAACTCCTGACCTCGAGCAATCCTCACGCCTTGGCCTCTCAGAGTGCTAGGATTATAGGCATGAGTCACCGTGCCCGGCCGCTTTCTGATTACTGATGGCTGTGCTCTACCAACTGTTCAGTATTCTTTATACCAGCCCTGTATTGGTGGATTAAAAAGAAATGGCCCCTGCACTCAAAAAGATTACAGTCTAGTGTTCTTTAGTACTTCTGTACTTCTGATACACTCATTATAACATACTTAACCATTGCTCTGATTTTTTTTTGTCTCTCCCACCAGTCTATGAGCTTCTCAGTTATTCCAGTTATCTTTGTAATCTCAGAATCTAGGACATGTGGACACTAAATAAATGTATGTTGGATGGATAGATGAGAGGGTAGAGGAATGTATGAATAGATGGACAGATGTAAGGTTGAAAGTACTTGGCAAGACACCAAAGGAAAGAGGAAAAGAGTGTTTCAAAACTTCTATTATGGACAATAGAGAAATGGAGGTTTCACTTAGGGAATTGGAGAGCAAAGTCTCATATGCAAAACATGCTTCCGTATTTTGGGGTGATACCTATAGTACATAAGAGTAAGCAATTTGTGCTCATAGAGGAAGCTGTTATTTCCATAAACAATAATCTGACTGATCCTTTAAAATGGCACTTCTGGCTGTATGTGGTGGCTCACGCCTGTAATCCTAGCACTCTGGGAGGCTGAGGCAGGCGGATTGCTCGAGGTCAGGAGTTCGAAACCAGTCTGAGCAAGAGCGAGACCCCGTCTCTACTATAAATAGAAAGAAATTAATTGGCCAACTAATATATATAGAAAAAATTAGGTGGGCATGGTGGCACATGCCTATAGTCCCAGTTACTCGGGAGGCTGAGGCAGGAGGCTAGCTTGAGCCCAGGAGTTTGAGGTTGCTGTGAGCTAGGCTGACGCCACAGCACTCACTGTAGCCAGGGCAACAAAGCGAGACTCCGTCTCGAAATGAAATGAAATGAAATGAAATGGCACTTCTGCTTAGCAAGATTAGAGCTGCCTCTTTTTCTTTTCTTGCAGATCGACCACACCTCGACCAGTGGGCATTACTTCCCCATCACAGTCAGGTAAAGAGCGTTTTTTTTGCCCAAATATCTGTGTGAAATGAATAAATATCCCTTCCCCAAATGGAAGATGGTTTCCTCTTAGAAACTATAATGTGATTTTCCTAATTTTATGTATGATATGAAAACATCAGACAACCAGATAACCACTTGCAACAGATTGGCTGGGCAAGGCAGGGGTGCACCATTGATGGCAACTTTTTCTTGGGCACTTTATTCTCTTTCAGTTACCCCACGACCCAGTTCCCAGCATAGCAGCCAAGTGGTCAGGTGAGTAAAAGCCTACGCAGCAACATTAAAGCTGTTGGTAAAAGTTGGAAGATGAAAGAAATGTCTAGATGCGGCTCAGATTAGGACTAAAGAGACTTTAAGTCTATGTAAAAGTTTAACACCAGATTTTTTGCCTTTTTGTTTCTTTGTCTCACCTTATACAGTCGATCCTCCTCAGTAGAGTCTATGCCTTATAGAATGACTGGCTTTGGTAGCTTGGGACAAGTAAGTAGTATTCTTCTCTTTCCAGATTGAGGTTTCTACTGTTAAATGAAAACAAAGACTTAAGTCAAGAATCTTAAATTTATATTGGTTTTGTCATAAATTATCTGATGCTATGCTGGAACCTATTTTCTTTTGGCAATGGAAACTTGATGTTAGAAGCTGACACAGGGAATAAATACGGGTGGAAATAGTGTAAGTGTTCAAGGACTGAATTAACAGTGTCTAGTGTGTTAATTTTGAAAATCATAAAGTATGGATCCTTCTTAGACCAGTATGTCCACCCTGGGAGAACAATATATGCTTGATTATGTAGAACAGAGAAATAGGGAAGCCAGAAAAAAAAAGGATATACTTATTAATTGATGTTTATTATTTGTCCATCAGGGAGGCAGAGGCCTGCAGGGAAGGAACACTCCCAGAAACTCTTACACTGGTGAGAGGGGGGAAAACAGTGTCAGAAGTAAATAAATTCTGTGCAGAGACCAGCAGATTTCTGGCTTTCTATGCATTGAAAATCTCTGGTCAATACTGTTTCTGGATACTCTCATAAAATAAAGAAAAAAAAAAAAAAAAAGAAAATCTCTGGTCAGAAGATGGAGGGTAACTCTTGAGTAAAATAATTGACTTGGATTTTTAAATCGCCACAAGATGGCAGTAGAAGTTAGGTGTAAAAGGAAGGTCAGGAGGATGCCAGTTGTTAGTCTGAAGGGTATCTGACTTCTTCACTGTGTATTAAACATAAAAGTATTCCAGTGCAGAAATATTTGGGGGCCGGGCACAGTGGCTCACGCCTGTAATCCTAGCACTCTGGGAGGCCAAGGTGGGCGGATTGCTCAAGGTCAGGAGTTTGAAACCAGCCTGAGCAAGAGCAATACCCTGACTCTACTATAAATAGAAAGAAATTAATTGGCCAACTAATATATGTAGAAAAAATTAGCTGGACATGGTGGCGCATACCTGTAGTCCCAGCTACTTGGGAGGCTGAGGCAGGAGGATCGATTGAGCCCAGGAGTTTGAGGTTGCTGTGAGCTAGGCTGACGCCACGGCACTCACTCTAGCCTGGGCAACAAAGCGAGACTCTGTCTCAAG